CTCTAATTTTTAAAAATATACTTTGTAGGCTTTGAGATTCCTCTATTGTAAAATGCCTGCTCAGGCTCTGCCCATTTTTCTTTCTATTGAGGTTTCTGTCATGTTCCCATTGATATGTGGGAGTTCCGTGCATGTTCTAGATACTATTCCCTTGTCTGGGTTAGTCATAACTAATGTCTTTCCCAATCATCATCCGTGTCTTACCTTTATTCATGGTGTCCTTTGTTGAATAGAGAGCCTGACTTTAATGTAATCAACTATATCTTATTTTATTATTATTCCTATTTGATATATGCTTTTGAGGTATCATTTCAAATATCTTTCTCTACCCCTGGGTCACATATTCTCCTATATCATCTTCTGTGGACTTTATGTCTTTGTCACCACAGGAAACTTTAAACCATCTGGAGGCTGCTTTGTATGTGGTGTTTAGTTTTATTTTTCTCCAATAATGATTCAGTTTTCCTAATGCCACCACTAAATAATTTCTCTTCTTCTCAGTGGTGTGTTTTTATCAGGTATTTTATCTGATATTAAGTTCTCAGATATTTTATCAGATATTAAGTTCTCAATTATGCACTGGTCTCTTTCTGAGTTCTAAGTTAAAATTCTTTAGCATATTTATCTTGTTTTGTGTCAAAAAAACACACTAGAAATTCTCACATTTTAAAAAATATGCTAACACATGTCCATCATGCATGAGATCTGATGAGGAACTCTCATCCTACTAAATTTGATCCAAGACCTCACTTTAACAGGCCAATACATATTAAAAATAGAGAAAGGAAAACAAAGAATTACTGATCAAAAGAATGCTCCAGCATTACTCATTTATTCACTCATTTACTTGCTCATACAACAAATACTTATTCGGTATCTGTGGGCGGGGATTCATGATGGATAGAGCTGGAGATGCAAGGCTGAGCCCGAAAAAGCAAGTTGCTGAAGTCATGAAACCCTACACTCTTTGATGAGAAACAAACATTAGTCAAATAATTATCCAAAAAATTTAACGTTGTAATTGTGACAGGTACTCTGAACAAGTTTAATGGGAAGGCTTGACCTCATAGACAGATTTGACCTGGTAGAGGAGAAAATCAAAGGTAATATTTGTAGGGTGGACAGGAGGTTACCAGGCTGGAGAGATGGAAGAAAGTTCCAGGTTGTGGAAAGAGCATGTACAAAGCACCTATGGTAGAAAGGACCTGAGTGCAAAAGTCTGAAAAAAAATTCAGATGTGTTTGTGTTTTAGTATTTAGAAGTCAGAGCAGAAGGAGCTAGCCACGGAAAACACATGGGCACAGCCAGCAAGAGAAGAAGAAAACAGGACACATTGCTGTCAGAGAAGCCAAAAGCAAGTATGCGCTAGGCTAGGCGATCTCACAGAACAGTGTATTTCTTGTCCCTTGGTCCTTTTAAGAAGTGGGCAACATTTCAGAATCCATGAAGAGATTTAACACAGGATGTTTATATCAGTGATTTTTTCATCCTTACAGAATACTGTTTATACATCATTTTGTACTTAACTTGAGGAATCTCTTTTCTTTTACAAAGGAGTCAGCAGGATGTGTATATCTCAATGGAGTGTCCTTCTTGTCCTACCCAGTTATTTTATTTTTCCCTACATGCTTCCCTGTCTTGTTCACCACAGCATTCCCAATGCCGAGAACAATGCCTGAGACATAGTAGGTTCTCAGTAAATACTTGTCAAATGAGTTAATTAGTGAAGTAAACAAATGAACATTTTGTTGTTTTACATTTTTGTATATTTGTTCATAGCACTCGTGATATTCATATATCAATGGCATCTATTAAAGGCGGAACAGGTGTCATAGATGATCTCTGGTCATGTTCAACGCAATTGCCTCAAAATTCTTTCATTGGCTTATTTCTATTAAGGGCTTATTAAGTCAAAAGTACTGTAATAACAATTAATTTGCAATTTATTTCACACTCTATCCCTTATTCAGTTCAAAAATACGCTTTGAAACTTCATGGAAATTGAGTTTGATTATTACACTATGCTTTATTGAGCCCGATTTTGAAAAGAGAACACCAAAGAAATACGGACAGCATTAAGAAAATAAAAATTTTATTTATCGGACAATAACATTTAAAAAAACTTTTCTCCCATTACATAAAAGGATTCTTTTTAAGGAAAAAAGGTCAAAATTTTTAGAAAGGGCACCACTAGCACAGACTGTGGCGTCTCACAGTAGAGTTGCGTACTTGATCCATTTGGGTCAGACCAGGTCTGGGGTTTATGTTGAAGGGAAGGGGGTTGAGAGACTTAGCCCTGGGGTTCAGCCCTAGACCAGGGTCTGAGGTGGGTACCAGAAGAACAAGAACTAGGAAGCTGTGGTAGAGATGAGATTGGGTAGGGTGGGGGGTGTGTTGGGGCTGGGTTGTAGGGATATGGTAGCACAGGAGGGAGACCCAAACTAATTAGCACTTAGGGAGCACTTAGGACATCCTAAGTGTTTCCTTTGCCTTTGGGTTCCATTCTGTGTCCTTGCCCCATTCCAAGATTTTGCCCTGAGGGTCACCTGTGCACATTGACCCTCCTTCCCAGGCTCCAGTGGAGGGAGGGCTGGCAGAAATCATACAGTTCGGGAAAAGCTGTCTCTATGTACACTTCAGTGAGTAACTGGGATTTTTTGGACACCATTAACATGCTTGCTTCGAAAACTGTGAAACTAGTCGACATAGTTAATGCCCTCCTGGACCTGGGGTGGCTGTTTGTTCATCTCTTTAAGGACAACTCTGATTTTGATTTTCTATGTGGAAATAAACATCCATTTCCAGCTAACCTTTTCCAAAAATCAGCCCCACGAAGTCGAAGTAGTTTAATTTTAGAAGTAGAAGTTACCATAGACAGCCTCCAGTGTTACTTCAATTACGTTACTTAAGTGGGATTTCCTTTAAGTGAGGGGTAGGGCAAAGGGAGAAGCACACTTCCCTCTGAGCAGGGAGCCTGGTGCGGGACTCCATCCCAGGACCCTGAGATCATGAGCCAAAGGCAGAGGCTTAACCAACTGAGCTACCCAGGCATCCCCCAAAAGACATTTTTTTTTTATATAATGTATTTTTAAAAAAATTATTTATTTATTCATTTGACAGAGATCACAAGTAGGCAGAGAGGCAGAGAGAGAGGGAAGCAGTCTCCCCGCTGACTGGAGAGCCCAATTTGAGGCTTGATCCCAGGACCCTGAAACCACGACCTGAGCCAAAAGCAGAGGCCTTAACCCACTCAGCCACCCTGGCGCCACCCCCCCCCACCAAAAGACATTGTTATAAAAAAAATTCTTCTACACCCATTTCATTGTCTTTTCAAATTTATACCTGATATTTCAAAAATGTATAATAGAGGAATCCACTTCAGTGACCATTTAGTCTAATCTAAATATATTAAATAAATTAGGCCACTTGTTTAGAGGAAGTCCCTTATATTTCATTTCTTTAAAAAAAAAAAAGTCACAATACCCCCAATCACCATTTTAATAGCCTCAATTAGATACTTAGTGTGAAAGATGAAAATAATATCTAAGATGAATTCTTTTCAGATTGCTCTTCCACCCATTTCTGGAATGAGGAAAAACGTAAGCTACCCTTAAGGCAATAAGGGTTGAAGGGTAGGTAAGAGTTTGGAAATGTCCTATTGTCAAGGACTATGATGATAGCCTGAGTACATTCCTAGAACCTGAAACTAGTTTGTTTCTCTGTCCTCTGGAGAGCTTCATGCTAGAGATCACGATGTCATTAGTACAGGATGAGGTGTGTTTATGAAATCATTGCTGGAAAAACATGAGGGTTAAAAAACATGGAAACAGAAGCATGTCAGCTATAGTCTCATGCCGATGACCCAGGCTTATTTTATGAGCAAATGTTCAATGATAAATTTTCTGACTATGGAAATAACAGAACAGCTCATTATGGGTCATTAATAAAATAGAGCATGGGACTAATACGTAGAATGCAAGCCATGTAGTGTTTGACCTTTGAGTTTAAATGGTCAATATTATAGTAATTTTGGCTCTGCGTATAATGGTATAGTATGGTACATGTTTTTAAGAACTGAATGGTGTGAGTGACATGGTTGGCTTTTGAAACAGGTTTCTCCAAACATCCCAGAGGAGGCAAACCAAACGAAATGGAACAGACAAATTTCTCCTTTGTGGTCAGACTTCCCTGGTTTAAGCAAGCAGTGGAAAAGAGGTGCTGGAGGATGAGTCAGAACGCCCTGTCATTGTTCTCTGGAGAGCTCAAGCAAACTGCTTTCATATTTTAATCTTCCAGGTTAAGGCTGGAGGTAATTCATCTAGTTCAAGTACATTGCAAACCAAACAGAAACTGTGTCCCATTCTTTTTCTTTTTCTTTGGTGGTAGGAAAGGAAGAGAGAAATCTCTAGTAAATGTCCAGGACTTCAATTTAGGAGACAGGTGTACGAAGGTCAGTGGAGGGCTTTACTTTGGGACAATGGAGGGTCTGGGAGAAGGGCGGTAGCGCACATTTAATTAACGTCAAGGATTTGAATAGATTCGTTTTCTATTGTAACTTACCCTTGACTTTTTTTTTTTTTTTTTTTTTGGTGGCCTGGAACCCCTTAATTAATTAGATAATTGATGTCTTTAATTTATGGTAATTTTCTTGCATCATTGCTGTATTGGCCATGGCATTTCTAAAAACAAAAACAAGACCCCCCCCCACCCAAGAAAGGGTGCCACAGATGAAAACCCTGTCGGAATTGCACTTGGAGATCTGCGGTAAATTTACTCCAGCAAGGAGTTCCTGGAGTTCCTTTCCAGCATGTAGGCCTCACGCAGCTGGGACAGCCCTGGCGACCCGTCCAGCTCTGGCGACCCGTCCAGCTCTGGCGACCCGTCCAGCACTAGCTGTCTCTGACCTCGGAGCGGCCCGCGGAGAGGGCAGCGCGCGGGGCGGAGCCCGGGTGCGAAAGCGCGCCCAGGCCCGCACCCCCTTCCCGCGCCTCGCCGCGCCCGGGGAGTGAGTCTTTGTACAGTCAGGGCTTCTGCTGGGCAGGGCCAGCTGCTAATCTTCCAGGCGGACACCGGGGTGGGGGGGGGGGCGAGATGGGGCATATAGGTGGCGTCCGCTGCTGAGAAACACCTAGCGCAGGTAAAAGGGTGGCGACAAGAGGGAGTTCCCACCTGTTGCGCTCTAAAAGAAATGAAGACTTGAGAAAATAGCAAGGAGGGGCCGATCTGTGGCTTTTAGACGCGCCTGGAGCCCCACCCTCGGCCGGAGGAAAAGCCCCTTGGGTGCGAGGCCAGCCCTCCAGAGAAAGCCAGAGGAAAAGCGCCTCTCCCCGCGCGCCACCTTCTGTGCCTCGCACTCGTCCTGCGCGGCTGGCCCAGAGCCTGCACTCCGGCCGCGGCCTTTGGCCCCGCGGAGCCTTCCCACCCCGACCTCCGGGCGCTTCTGCGGTGACCTGTCCCCGAGTGCTCCCATGGCGCTCGCCCGCCCCGCACGCTCCCGGAGCGCAGCCCTGTGCTGGCAACTGCTGCTGACCCTCTCGGTGAGTGGCCGCCCGGCTGCCGGCTCCCGGGAGGGGGGCTCCACCCGATGGGGGAGCCAGAGGAAACTCTGGGGGCAGGGGTGGCTTGGGGGGGTGGCGGGCAAAGCGGAGGGTAATGGGTCGCCGCCCGGTTGAACGAATGGAGTTGGAGGAATGGGGGAAGGTTGCCAGGAAGAGGTTCGCGACCTGGGCGCCGCGCTCCGGAAAGGGAGGAGAAGGGTGTCATCGGTAGATGTAATCAGCGCAGGCAGACAGAGACGCAGACGCCAGCTGCGAACGCCCAGCCAAAACCGTGGCCTCTGGGGACCAGCGGGGAGCGCGGCTCCTCCGAGCCTCTGCCATTCCCGGGGAAGGTGCGATCCACTTCTGCCTCGGTGCCGGGTTCCGGCCACCGCGAAGGGAGCCCTGCGCGGACAGGGCGGAAAGTGCTCGCCCTTGGGTCAAAGGGAGAGGACTACGCGCCTTTCAGGGGGTTGCTCTCCGTCAGTGTGTGAGTGTGCGGAGAGGAGTGGTCTCGACACTCGCGCCCGGAAACGGTAGATGGGCGGGCCCTAGGTGACCCTTTGTATGGTTCCCATTGTTTGTCAGCGTGTGCGGTTGCCACCCCCTTAATTTTAAGGGAAAAGTTCTTCCGAATCTCTTGTGCACAGAGGCATCTGGATTCTTCTCCTAGGCCCTCTCAGTCTGAAACTGAGAAAGAACACTGTAGCAAAGTGTGAGAAGGCGTGGCCTTGCTTGGGGAGGGACAGTTCCCCGTGGCCGGGGGCGGGGCGGGGCAAGGCGGAAGGTACGGGAATACAAAGCCAATGGACAGACCCTGGGAGAGTTTGGGATCAGAGGTTTCGCGAAATGGACTTCCTGAGTCCCCCAGGAAGAGAAAAATTAAATAGACCAGGTGCCAGAAAGTTCTCAACCTGGTAGTGTCCTTTCTCCTTGAGTTGGAGCTCAAGTTCTCTGAAGGACAAGGGAACAAACCTGGACAACAGACAGCAGGAAGATTCCTTCTGGGAGTGCTGGAACGGGCGTTGTGGGGGGAGTGGTGGAATGAAATATTCCGATAATTTCACTACTCATCCGCTCTTAGGTTACAGGCAATTCCTTAAATTTTTACGTCATGAAATCATAGTACTGTCATTCCAGTGACTTTCTCTAGGAATTCTATGGACTTAAATTCCCCAGGCACATCAGTATCACAGAAAGGGCCAGGTGCACAACAATTAATATTTTACAGTTGAGAAAACCAAGAATGGCATAAATAACGGTCACAACATATGTAGTTGATGACAAAGAAATGACGTTGGTTAGATCCCTAATAAAGTTGCCGCTTTTTTTTTAAAAGCACTGGCCATTATTCTTTGAAGGAAAAGGGGTAATTAAGCAGGGACAGTGATAAGTATGAGCAATAAATAGCACTGCTTTGCCTCTGCTTACAACACTTTTTCTATTTGCTTTCACATCCTTTCTGGAAGAAAGAAGATAAAGTGAACAAACTAAAGGTGACTTGTCTTAGCTTCAGAGCTGGATTGGCCAGAAGTGGGATAGAAAAAAAGCTCTGGCGCTGGCTACACCCCACATCCTGCTACGTTCTTGGCTGGAAGGCCTGGTGTGAGTCCTTCTAGTTGTTCTGGTGTCTGTGGGCATACCAGGGCAAAGTCCTGCCAGCCTCAGGTGGTTCTTATGCTTGTGGGCCTCAAGTGTGATGGATGTGTAAAGAGCATTTGAATAGAAGGTATTATTAAAGAGTGAATAATTCCTATTCACTGGGGGAACACCCTTTACATTTCCTCCTCTCCATGCACCCAATTAATCCTTCACCGTTCCACAAATCAGGTTCTCTCTGCTTCCTAATACGGCCTTACCTCACATGGGTCTTAACCACTTGAACTCTGGTTTCTACCTAAACACCTAACGAGGCTGCTCACTCTCTAAGGTCATACGGGATCTCCGCTGCCATATAGAAACCATTCCTTGCACGGTTCCACCTTGTAGCTTGTGCCTTTATTGAAATTCACTCCCCTTTTTTTTCTTTTGATCTTCCTGTCCCTGACTACTCAGAATCAGACTCCTTATTCTAGGTCCTGTCCACGAAATATCATTACAGGTGCCTCCTTAAATGAAATTTATTTTGTTAGTTGGGATGTCTTCATTGAACAATACGTCTTTGTATCTACCTAGTATGATGTGGGACACAGCAGTTATTATCTTCTCAAACAATGTTGCTTTTCTTCTCACAATATCCTGTAATTCAGTGAATGACATTACCATACACCTTGTTGCTCAGGTAGGATGTCTGGAAGCTGTTTGCTTTTCCTTCCTCACTGCTCCCCTCATTAAGGGAGTATCATCAAGTCCCATTAAATCTACATTCAGAAATATCTTTTTTTAAAAATTATTTTATTTTATTTTTTTATTTCCAGCATAACAGTATTCCTTGTTTTTGCACCACACCCAGTGCTCCATGCAATCCGTGCCCTCTCTAATACCCACCACCTGGTTCCCCCAACCTCCCACCCCCCGCCACTTTCAAACCTTTCAGAAATATCTTATGGATATCTTTGCTTCTATCCGTCACCTCTGCTATTACTTTTTGCTATTACAGGGAATGTCATAGTGAATAAACTTGTGTATATATGGGATTTCATGTATGGGCAGATGTATGAATGAATAGAATAGATTACCAGAAGTAGGATTGCCAGATACAAGTATAAATGACTCTCTACTTTGGTAGATATTACTAGCTCCTTCACCCCTCTATAAAGGTTGTACATGACTAGATGGAAGGCTATTTTATAATGGATGGCACATCACATCGTTGAGGATATATAGAGAGTATTACATATGTAATCTATGATATATTATACATAGTATACTAATACACTAGTTATTATATTATATTGATATACTATAGTATTATAGTACTATACTATGTATAATATACTGTATTATATAGCATGTTATATTATACTATATTATAATATGTATATAGTATGAGACTACTTGATCTTGGCAGTCATTTAGCAAAAGGTAAGGTTGAACCAGTAACTCATGCAGAACACAGAGAAATCTAAACAGATGGAAGGTTTGTGTAACATATACCATATACTTAATAAAAGAAAACATGGAGAATTCCTATTTAAGTTTGGAGTCAAGAAGGGGTATCTATGGTTCACATGGCTTAGATTTCAAAAGCCATTTATTAATTTTGAGAAAACAAATTATGTCAAATTATAACCATTAATATAAATATATTATAAATATTATAAACAATATAAATCAATTATATTAAGGCACACACACACTTGTCCGTGGCAAAAAACCCAAACCAAACAAAAATATTATAAGTAAAGTCAAAGAAGTAATTGAAATTGGAAAAAAAATTGCGGATCATATTTTAGAAAGGCTAATCTACGAGTATATAAAGAGCTCTTATAAATCAAATAGTCCAACATGAACATTGATATGAAAAAGTCCCGTAAAGTAATAAAAATGGCCCATAAAAATATTTCAGCCTCACTCATAATAAGAAAAGATGTAGTTAAACTTCAATAACATGTTCCTCATTTGGCAAACAACCAAAAGTTTGACAATACACAGCATGGGCAAGAATGTGGTGAAATAGGAACTCCTATAAATTGTTGGTAAGTGTAACAAAGTTACATTTATGGACTGTATACAGTTATAACAAATGCAAACAGAAACTGTTTTACTTCCTTTTCAGTTTTTATGCATCTAATATCTTTCTGCCTATTCATATATAATACTGCAGTTTTAATTATGAGACTTCATAGAGTTTTTAAATACCTGCTAGGTCTAATATCCTTTCATAGCTTTTCTTTTTCATAATTTTCCCATATATTCTTGGGTTTTTATTTTGCCTTATGATCTTTTAAATCAGCTTGTGTAGTTCCAGAAAAGATACTGTTAAGATTTTTATTGACATCATGAAATTTATAATTTAACTTAGTGGAAATTGATATATTTATGTTGATTGTCTTTTTCTATCTAAAATAATGATACATCTTTCTTCTTGTCTGAGTCTACCTTCCTGTCCTTCAGAAATGTTTTCAGATTTTTCTCAAGTAGGCTTTACATGTTTCTTATTTTTTACTCCTTGGCTTTTTAACTTTTTATTGCTCTTGAAAATTATTCCTTCTCTTTTATTATATTATTTAACTTGTATTTACATGTATAAAGACTAATGATTTCTGTATTCTAATAGTTGTTCCTGCTCCCTTACTGAAATTCTTTATTGTTTTATAGTAATTTACTAGTTGATTTCTTTGAGTTTTTAATTAGTCCTATCAAATGCAAGTAGAGATTCTTTTTTTACTTCTTCCTTTCCAGTCCATATGTCATCTAATATTTCTCTCTTGCCTAATATATTTTAATGTAAAGTTAACTATAAATGATGACCTTGGAAAGTCTATGTTATTTCTTAGTTTAGTGGGGCTGCTGCTAATGATTTCCCATAGATGTTGTGATTATAACAAAATATAATATAAAAATCACAGTAAAGACGTACTTATTAACTCCTGGGGGACTTTTTTTTTTTTTTTTAAATCTAAGGGTTGTTACTGAATTTGGTCAAATGTCTTTCAGCATCTGTGGTAGCGATTACACACGCCAGGCCTTCTTTAAACTAATCAGTGGGTCAAGGTTCCTAGACCAAGCAAATAAGGTGACAGATCCATTCAAGGACTGGTTTGTCTCAGGCTCCCTCTACAGCAAAGGTTTTCCATTTGGGGGTCCCAGATTAATGTGGGCAGCTCTTCTCTTAGATCTTAGGCAGGCCTGTGCTTTGATTTTCTTCTCTTTTATTGAGGCCAAACAATCAGCGTCCAGTCTTCTTAGATCAGAAGTTGCATCTGATCACTACGCCCTGTTTGAGTTTGATCCCCAATTTCTACCTAGCAATTCTTTGCTAGATGATTTAGGAGGGTTAACAAAAAAAAAATCTATCATTTTTCATTTTGGCATTTTTTCACCCTGAATGACCTAGATGCTATTATTGGAAGTGAGAATCATTCTCCTGATCCATTCTCCACACTGTTCAGAACCCCCTTACTCCTATAGGAAGCTGCTTATGTCATTTATCCGCTTAAAGCAAATCTTTGGTTTCTTACTCTCTTTAGGAAAAAAAAAAGATCCACATACTTTGTTAACACTATTCAGAATTTACCCCACACCTGCCTCTCTGAATCCATTTTCTTTTATTTCTTTTTTAAGATTTTATTTTATTATTTATTTATTTATTTTTCGGGGCTGCATTTTTTTTTAATTTTATTTTTTATAAACATATAATATATTTTTATCCCCAGGGGCACAGGTCTGTGAATTGCCAGGTTTACACACTTCACAGCACTCACCATAGCACATACCCTCCCCAATGTCCATAACCCCACCCCCCCTTTCCCAACCCCCTTCCCCCCATCAACCCTCAGTTTGTTTTGTGAGATTAAGAGTCACTTATGGTTTGTCTCCCTCCCAATCCCATCTTGTTTCATTTACTCTTCTCCAACCCCCTTTTTATTTTTAAGTGATCTGTACACCCAAAGTGGGGCTCGAACTCACGCGAGTTCAAGAGTTACATGCTCTACCAACTGAGCCAGCCAGGCACCCCTGAATCCATTTAAACTTTGTCCCTCTTGTGCTGTGAGCATCAGGCTTTTAAGATGTTGTTCTCAGATCTGTGTCATCTCTGGGCTTCACATATGCCGTTTCTGTATTTGGAACAGAGAAGCTCTGCCCCTCTTGACGTGGCTATGGTACAGCCACTCTTCAAGTGACCTCACCTAGCTCTTATACCACGAAGCTAGCTCCCCCTGCTACCCTATTACCCTAGACCTCTCCAGCAGAGCATTTATCCTACTTTATTGAAATTACGACTATGTCTTATCCTTGAATTGAATGTTTCATGAGGATCATTGTTACTGCTCTGTGTCTGGTACACAGTACACATTCAGTAAATATTAGTTAAATTCATGAATGAATGGATGTCCAGGATGCCGTTCTCTAAAGTATTGAATTAATCCAGCCATTTTTCACTTCTCTGCTGTTTTCATCTTAGTCCAAGTCACCATCCTCCCCCTCTCACATTTTTGCCGGAACCTCCCAACTGGTCTTCTTGCTTCTGCTCTTGCTTCTCTGTAGTCTGTTCTCATGTGGCCACCAGAATGAGTCTGTGTAAATGCTCACCACATTATGCTGCTCCACAGCTTTTAAACCTATGGTTGTTTCTCTTTGTACTCAGAATAAAATCTACACTCCTATTATGGCCTTTTAGACCATATGTGATATGCCCATGTCTGTCTCTTTAATATCACCTTGTATCACTTCACCTCACTGTGCTTTCCTACCATGACTCCCTTTTTGTTCCTCTAATACACCAGGTAAAATCTCTTTCAGGGTCTTTGTTCTGTTTTTTTCTTCCACCTGGAAGACTTCCCCGTTAGTGAACTGGTTTGCTTCCTCATTTCATTCGGGCTTCTGGTCTTCCTTTGTCACCTTTTCTCCCTGCTTTATTTTTCTTATAACATATATCTCCTGGCTTTATATAATCTTTGTGCATTGATTTTTTTTGTCTCTCATTATAAAGTAATCCCCATGAGGTCAAGGACTTTGCTTTGTTTACTGTTGAGCACTGCCTTGTACCTAGAATGCAACCAGTAAATGTTGGTTGGATGAAGAAGTAGATGCATGCTTTCAACCACCCTGAGTTGGACTCGTCATACATCTCATTTTACTCCTGTTCTAAGATGATATGGCTAGTGAATGTTCTTCTCATCTTTTAATATCCAATCCAATAGTCTCTTCACCATGTCCATACCTAATTTCCAAATGACATGTAATCACTGCCTTGCCTGATCCTCCTTATATAACTTAAATTGGATAAATAAATGTATATTGGAATGTGTAGTAGAAATAAAACGTGTATTAGGAATCAAATTTTAATCCAAATTTTTGATTTTTTAAATTTGTGTTTATAGACTTCGTAAATACAGTGTCAATGCTAGTCAGCTATCTTGCTTTTGATCAAAAGCCTTTGCAAAACTATAGACCTGTGAATCTTTCAGAAGTGTGCATTATATAGTTTCAGACAGAACAGAATTAAATTTCACTGTGTTCAAATATATATTATATTGGAATTGGTTACCATAAATCACTAACGCATTTCAAAAATTTTAAGTGAAATATTTTGTAAAATGACCTCACTGGTCACCTATGAGAAGATGCACCTTCAACATAAATTCGTATTTCAAAGTTATGTGCTTGTTTGTGTGGGTCATGATAAATAATCTCCAAGTTGCTCCATGAAATGAGTTGATGCTTCTCTTTAAAGCATTGAGTTTCCGTTTAATATATTATTGATTTGGTACCATGGTTCATAGGCAATTGACTATTAATTGAAGCTCTTTGCTGACTCTGTAGATTTGTTTTTGTTTTTCCTAGTCACATACCTGTGCTGCCTACCTAAGTTTTCAGTGCTCTCACATTGGTTCTCATTCAGTCCTCCAGAGACTCATTACATTAGTGAATTTACTATTAACTCCTTTTTACAGAATAGGAAACAAAAGCTAAGAGGGTGAGGAATTCTTGGAGTTTACATGCTTTGTGAAGGACGGAGCCTTGATTTTTTGGTCTGTATTTTATCCTTCCTCATCAGACAATTTTGTTCTGATTTCTGCTGCAGTGTATGTTTTTAGATTTTATTTTGCTAGTTGTATAAACTAATTTATAATTATACCAATTTCTAATTTATATAAACTATGTCTACATTAAAAAGATCTTTTTTTAATGCATAATTACTGATTTGATGTTTTAGATCTTAACATTTGCCTGTGATGCCTGCAAAAAAGTCATACTACATGTTCCCTCCCAACTAGATGCTGAGAAATTTGTTGGTAGAGGTAAGAAACTGCTAAAATATAAAATAAATCTTATTTCGTATGATCTTGAAAAATTAGTGTCATTTTTAAAAGAATAGCTGTATTGGAATTAATAGTTAATAACTAATATATTATCATTTGTAATACATATAATGTCATTCCAATAAAAGGAATATTGTCATTTACTGAAAAACATGATTATATGAAGTAGAAAAAAAGGTTTAGTTTGACTAATAAATAATTATTAATATTTCTGCTACATGGGGGTGAAGGTATATGTTATTACATACTTCTATGAAATTGAGAAGTAGTATTGAATCTATTTCTTGAGTTTAAAGGTAATTGTTTTTGGATCTTAATCATAAAACATTTTGGCATTTTACTGATATATATTTCCACAAATTACTTCTTATCAGTTATTACTTTTTTTTTTTTTTTTTTTTTGAGGGAGAGAGATTGAAAGAGAGAGAGAGCAGAGAAGAGCGGCAGAGGGAGAGCGAGAGAGAGAATCTTAGGCAGGTTCCGTTCAGCATGGAGCCTGACACCAGGCTCAATCCCACAACCCTGAGGTCATGACCTGAGCTTAAATCAAAGCACACTAAACCACCTGAGCCACTCAGACACTCCATATCAATTAGTTTTTCTCATATAATTCAAATGTGCAAGGAAAGAGCAGAGCAATGAGAACACAGAATATAATGATTCTAACAATAGATGCAAAGGGTTAAGAAATAATTTAATAACTGCTGATTAATGTTCTAGATTCTGTTTAACTTAAGTTTTCTCAGGTGTTGCTCTGTAGGTAATTTCAGTTAATAAAAAATAACTTCTTTTGGTATTGGTTTACCTATTCAAACACTGGAACTCACATGCTTTTATTTTAGGACAAATGTCTCTTTCTTAAAAGTATATAAAGTAGGTATTAGAAGTGACGTATGTGTTTACGCACAGTTTAATTAACCATGTAGTTTCATATACACTTTCAAAAAATGCGACATTTACAAGTATCAGTGTAATTTTAAGTTTTCGGCTCCCCACACCAACAAATGCATAGATCGTTATTAGCACTATATATTGTTTCGTTTTACTTTACAAATGATTGCTGTGTGTATTTCCTACAGTTAACCTGAAGGAGTGCTTTCAATCTGCAAATCTAATTCATTCAAGTGATCCTGATTTCCAAATTTTAGAAGACGGTTCCATCTATGCAACAAATGCCATTCTTTTGTCATCTGAGGAGAGAAGTTTTACCATATTACTTTACAACACTGAGAACCATGAAGAAAGGAAACTGCGTGTTCTTTTACAGCATCAAACAAAGGTACACCAAACTATAAAAATGAAGTATAGTGAATTGTTTTCTGCAGGTGCAACATTACCAGGGAAGATGTGAAATCAGAGAGGATGTAGGATAGTTTAGCTTGATGAAGAATGGAAACCATCGTGCAACCTAACAGTGTTCAAATCGTGGAAAAAGGTCTTACCTCATCGGTTATTCTACGTTGTCATTGATTTTCATATGGGACAGGAACAGAGAACTTGGGAGGCTACAGCATGGGAACTTGAGATTGGACACAAAGAAGCATTTCTTAATCTTTCCTCTAGAATAGAGTTCTAAAACAAATTTTGAAACTCTGTTTCTGGAGGTCTATATGTATCTTATACAGCATAATTTGTAGTCTTAAGAAGAAGATGATTATTTTAGGTTGAGGTTCAGACCTCCTACCTTCTTTTGGGACTCTGACACCAAAGATCCAGATGATTTCTATTCAATCATCGGCCATTATTCACTGTAGTAGCTTGAGAATTGTCACCGTTTTTCTCTCCTCATTCTGACACAGATCTCTCTGTTGGTTCATGGCTCTTCTTAGCTGCTGAGTGGAAGGTGCATATGCTAGATTTAGAGGGTCACTCACTTAATTTCTCTTCCTTGCATCTCTCGCCTCCCATGGTTTTGCATGGCAATATGGCAACAGTAATGTTGATTTTGTTTTTGTTTTTTAATTTTGCTTCTAGGCTTCCAATTCCATCTCTCTTTCTTCCATGTTCCTACCAAGTTGTTTTCTCAAGAGGATTGCTGTGATAATAGTTAGGACCGCTATTTCTTTGTTATCTTTTTGCAGTGTTGACATTTAGTTTGGTTTTCCACCATGGTCTTACACCTTTCCAGTTAATCCTCATGAGAGATAGGTCAGAATTTCAGTGTTTGTCAATAATCATTGACTTTATTATTTTTTTCCTGTGTTTTAAATTGAGGTATTAAAGAAGAGGCATTCTAAAGAAAAAGTTCTAAGACGTGCCAAGAGAAGATGGGCTCCTATTCCTTGTTCAATGCAGGAGAATTCCTTGGGTCCTTTCCCACTTTTTCTTCAACAGGTACAGTTTACTGTCCTTTCACTGTGGACTTATATGGTTTCCATTTTTCTTTTTTAAATTTGGACAATGAATATGCAGTTATTTTAAAATCAGTTCTGTCCGAATACATGAGTGAGTATGTGTATTGTATGTTTCAATAAATGGGTATAAATACATATCTTTATGCCAGCATATACTTTTTTGCAGTTTTAGTCATGCAATATCCATATATGAAATTGTAAAACCCACCTAGCACTTTCAAACACATGGTTCCTTAATGAATTTTCATATTAGCACGCATGTCACTTGGACATAGCCTAGAAACCCCAAACATCTTCCATAATAGATGTAATTGCCATGAAGGGCAAAAGACACAAACTTCCTTTCTATTGTTTATCCCCAAGTCCACTACTAAAATCATACTGGATCCTTTCTCTCTTTTTAGCTTTTAGTAGCAACCTCAGCAAATCTTTCCTTCTTCCACTAGCCATTGCCATGACCATTCAGTCCTTGACTTGGGTTTCTTTTCTCTCAGTTCTTGAAATTTGAGAGAGAACTCTTCTTTATATCCCACCGACAAATTTAATACAGCTGAGAGAAGAGCATATTGAAGTTGGGAAAGACATTATTTGAAAATAATTGTGTGTCATCCTGACATATAGTCAAGATATTACTAAAAGGATCAAAACAACTTGGGAAAAAATTTTAAGTACCAGAATATCACACTTGCCAGGATATTATGTTATTCGTATTCTCACTCATTTCCACTCCCCCTTTCAGCTCAGCTTCAATAATAAAAAAGATGCTGTCAAATAACAGAAACTAATTAAAGAAAGCATTTCCCATGCTTTTTGCCCTGTAGACAGTAACTTTTAAACCTAGCAACTCAGATGTTATGTTATGTATAATAAAAATTTAAGCTTAAAAGATTGACAAAAGCATAGTTTTTCATGCTCAGAATACTTTGTTTTCTCAGACAGTTAAAGTCTTAAATGTTTGGTCCACATAGGTAACATTTAGCCTTTAAAGTATTTCTCAGTTATTCTGGAAAACTAAGACACTACTACATTGTTTTCCTCATGCCTTGCTCTTGAAATTTCTCAATCATTAGCCTTCCTTATTCTATTGCTGTTTTTTTATTCATACATGATAGTAAATTAAAGGGGCAATTGCTTATTACAACAAAATGGCAATGTGATTGCATAAATATATATAGAAGAAAGTTATACTAAAATAAACATTTGTCTCTTAACATCTACTTTCTAGATTCAATCTGACACTGCACAAAACTACACTATATTCTATTCCATAAGAGGACCTGGGGTGGACCGAGAACCTATGAATTTGTTTTATGTGGAGAGAGATACTGGAAACCTGTATTGTACTCGTCCTGTAGATCGTGAGGAGTATGAATCCTTTGAGGTAAAGTCTGAAGTTTATGTATCGTATTAGTCATTGTTAAGTTTGGCTGTTTCATCTCTCATTCTCAATTCATTTATCTTTTTCTATTCTTTGAGCTTGTTGTCTATGCTCTGGCTACATCTGATAGCACAGACCTGGAGCAAAAAGAGTTTTATAGAATAAAGAGCATTAGATTCTTAGATTGGTCTTAGTATGATAGTTTTATTTTTTTAAAAAAGATTTTATTTCTTTCTTTATTTTATTTCTTTCTTTATTTTATATATTAGCACACTTGAGTGGGGAGAGAGGCAGGGGGGAGAGAGAAGGAGAGGGAAAAAAATCTCAAGCAGACTCTGTGCTGAGCATAGAGCCCCTAGAGGGCTACATCTCAGGACCCTAACTGAGATCATGGCCTGAGCTAAAACCAAGAGTCTGACACTAACTGGTTGAACCACCCAGGTGTCCCTAGGATTGAATATTTAGGTTTGGAATTGCTATAAGAATGCCTTCTAAGTACCTGTGATGTTTTGCTTTCTCTGAGAGCAGTTATGAGAAAAACTGGAATTGAAATTCACATTATAAAATTAAAAGAAATATATTGCATTCCACACACAATTTACATCTGTGCATTTGTTCTATTTCTGACTTTCCTTTTTTTTTAAGTAAAAAATTCTCATGAAGAGAATTATCTAACTTTAACTACCAATATGCATGAAATCCTAATTAGGAGAATATAAGATAATATTCTAGTTAACTGCACCTAGGGAGTTTGGAGTCCTAAGAATTCAAAGTTATTGAAGATTCAGAGTGTGGTATTTAAAATCCATGCTCTGGAAACTTCCAAACAAAACAAAATAGTAGAGAAATGGAAAGATATTCTAGGCTCATGGGTTGGAAGAACAAATAACTGTTAAAAACAATGCCCCTACTATGTGAAACAATCTATAGATTTAATGCAATCCTGATCAAAATACCAGCAGCATTTTTCACAGAACTATAACAAACAATCTAAAATTTGTATAGAACCACCAGAGACCCTAAATAGCCAAAGCAGTCTTGAAAAAGAAAAACAAAATTCCAGACGAAGTTATATGACAAAGCTGTACTAATTAGGGTGCTTGGCTGCCTCATTTGCTGAAAAATGTGACTCTTGATCTCAAGGTTGTGAGTTCAAGCTGATATTGGATGTAGAGATTACTTAAAAAAAAATTTTTTTTTTCAAAAATAAACAAAGGGTGCCTGGGTGGCTCAGTCAGTTAAGCATCTGCCTTGGGCTCAGGTCATGATCTCAAGGGCCTGGGATGAGCCTCACATCTGCATCCAGCTCCCTGCTGAGCAGGGAGTCTGCTTCTCCCTTTGGCCCTCCCCCCTGCTAGGGCTTCCTCTCCCTCTCTCTCAAATAAATAAATAAATAAATAAAATATTTTTTAAAAAGATAAACAAAGTTGTACTAATCAAAACAGAATGGTACTAGCATAAAAATAGAGACCTATATTAATGGAATAGGATAGAAAACCCAGAAATAAACCCAGAATTATATGGTCAATTAATCTTCACCAAAGGAGAAAAGAATATACATCAGGAAAAAGACAGTCTCTTCACAAATGGTGTTGGAAAAACTGGTCAGCTACATGCAAAAGAATGAGAAGAATGAAACTGGAATACTTTCTTATACCATTCACAAAAATAAACTTGAAATGGATTAAGTGTAAGACCTGAAACCATAAAAAGCCTAGAAGAGAGCACAGGTAATAATTTCTCTGGTACCGGCCATAGCAACTTTTTTTCTAAATGTCTCCTGAGGCAAGGGCAATAAAAGCAAAAGTAAACTGTTGGGACTATACCAAAGTAAATAGCTTCTACAAAGAAGAAAGCCATAAAATTAAAAGACAACTTACTGAATGGGAGAAGATATTTGCAAATGACTCATCCAATAAAGGGTTAGTACCTGAAATACATAAAGAACTTATAAATCTCAATACCCCAAAACCAAATAATCCACTTAAAAATGGGTAAAAGACATGAACAGATATTTCTCCAAAGAAGACATACAGATGGCCAACAGAAATATAAAAAGATAATGTTGCTCATTATCAGGGAAATGCAAATCAAAACTACGATGAGGTATCACCTTACACCTGTCAGAATGGCTAGAATCAAAATACAAGAAACAACAAATATCGTTGAGGATGTGAAGAAAATGAACCCTCTTGCACTGTTTTTCTATGAAAGATTTTATTTTATATAATTATTTGAGAGAGAGAGAGACAGAGCATTGGTGGGGGGAGGGAGAGAGAGAAGTGGATTACCTGCTGAGTGGGGAGCTCGACATGGGCGGGGCTCGATGTTTTATGGAAGTGTTGAATCACTACAGTACACCGGAAACTAATATAACACTATGTTAACAACTGGGATTAAAATAAAAAACTTAATAAAACAAAACAAAACAAGCCACAAAATAATCTTCAAGTCTGTTCTGGGAAAATAATAGTAAAAGCTGTTACACTCATCCACAACAGGACAACTCTAAAATTATCTATGTTATTATGTTAGATATAGTAGAAAGAAACCAAAATTATCTATGTTATTATATTAGATAAATGTAAAATCCTATAGTACACTATGAGATTAACCACCTCCTGTGACATTAAGGTTATGTCCACATCCTCAAACATAACAAATGGTGCAACTCACACTGCAGTGCTGAACAGTTTCCAAATTAAAGCCAAAGGAAGTTGGAACCATATTTTAACTTTGCTTTTTTTCTTATATGACTCTTCACAGCTAATTGCCTTTGCCACAACTCCAGATGGATATACTCCAGAGCTTCCCCTGCCCTTGGTAATCAGAATTGAGGATGAAAATGATAACTATCCAATTTTTACAGAAACAACTTACGTTTTTACAGTTTCTGAAAATTGCAGAGTTGGTGCGTACCTACCTTAACAATGTATGGCAGCTTAATGTTTTAATTCACAAATTGAATTTCACTGTGGCCATTGGGAGGCAGCACATTCTGCCGACAAGAATAAGGGACTTGCCTCTCAGGGTTGCTGTGGGTGGAATTTTGCTCTGCCTTTCACTAGCTGTGAGCTGTAACCCTGGGCAAGTTTCCTAGTCTTGACAAACCTTAGTTTCCTTATCTGTAAAATGGGTTTTTGATATGTGAGATTGTTGTGAAGATTAAATGATGCATCACACACTTGGAAAGCCAAGCCTAGTGCCTGAAAACTAGAGAAATTACTCAGTTACTTCCTATGTGAAATAAAATTAATAATTTTACGAGAACACACTCTAAAAAGGTTTTGAGCAGTTGAAGTCTTAGTCTTAAAGAGATGTACTGATATTCCATACTGATTAAATGATTGACAGTACTCTGAGCATTATCATAAAGGTCATTGAGAGTAACACAAAGGTTTTCTTAATCTTATGTCAATGGACCCCATCAGCTGGAAGTCAGAATGCAGTTTTTGAGTCTTCCAGAAAGATCTAACTAAACCAAGAGTTTTGGACACATTTTTGACAATTTGATCAATTTAAGGGCAGACTTACAAATAGAAAAAGGTTAAAAAGTAGTTAGAATTCTTTAGTCTAGAAATACAAAGGCAATGGATGGATGTTATCAACATTTATCAAATTGTACAGTAAATGCAGTAAATACAGATTTGGTCAACAAATTCCCAAAGGTTAGAATGCTGGGATATTTTTTAAAATGATACTGCATATAGAAGTCTGCAAATGTATAAAAACTTATTCTGCCATATAATTAAATGGTCCAAAAGCTTTTTGAGGTAGATGGAAAGGAATGAAATAAAGGGGATGTTGATAATGTAAAAGTTTTGGAAATTAAAGAAGATTTCTCAATATGTAGGTTCTACCGTGGGACAGGTATGTGCGACGGACAAAGATGAACCTGACACTATGCACACACGTCTCAAGTACTCCATCATCGAGCAGTTGCCAGCATACCCCACGCTCTTTTCCATGCATCCAACTACAGGCGTGATCACCACGTCCTCATCTCAGCTAGACAGAGAGGTAACCTAAATATCAACAGACAAAGGCTGATTATCACTTCGCCATTGAATCGTACCTGTATATATGTTGTATAGCACCATGTGTTTGTGAAAAGCACATTGTGAATCTCATTTTATTTTATTTTTATTATTTTTTAAATATTTTATTTATTTATTTGTCACAGAGAGATATCACAAGTAGGCAGAGAGAGAGGGGGGAAGCAGGCTCCCTGCTGAGCAGAGAGTCTGATGCAGGGCTCAATCCCAGGATCCTGAGATCATGACCTGAGCCGAGGGCAGAGGCTTAACCCACTGAGCCACCAAGGCGCCCCATGAATCTCATTTTAGAAAAGTTATTAAGTATGCTGATGGAGGTCATTAACCTTGCAGTGTGCTCATTTTGAACCACTAATTTGTTCTCCCTTGAAGTGTACATTTTACAAAGTCAAGTTTCCTAATATTAACATTTTTACAGAATAAAAACAGGAAGTGTCAAATATGAAAAGTGGAACTTTTCCTCAAATTTTCTGGTCTCAGGACCCTTTACACTCTTAAGTATTATTGAAGATTCCACAGATCTTTTGTTTATATGGGTTATATTTATTGATATTTATTTCATTAGTATTTAAAGCTGACAAAAGTTTAAAATATTTATTTATCCACTCATTTAAAAATCATAAGTTTATTACATGTATCATAAATAACATTTTTATAAAAAACAATTACATTTTCTAAAACAGTAAATAATTTACCGAGAATGACATTATAATGCATTTTTCCAAGCCTCTTTAATACCTGACTTAATATAAGACTGGTGGATTCTCATATCTCCTTCTGCATTCAGTTTGTTATAATACGTAGTTTTAGCTAAAGTATATAAAGAAAATCCAACATGATAGAAAGTTGGAAAAGAGAGGAATATTTTAATAGTGATTTTAGATCATTGTGGGTACTCTTTTGATACTACATCAAAACTTGACAAGTTTTGTTTCATAAATGTGTTTTTTTGCAGTGTGCACTCTAAAGCCTTATAAAGGAGTTTTCATACTTTGTTATATTAAAATCCATTGGTCTGTCTTGTACTCTGGACAATTTATCCATGTATAATTTCTTAACATCCTGTGTTGACCAATTGGAAAAGGGTTTTTCACTGAATTATGTAGATCTTCCATAGATTGACACATTTTATTAAGCAATATAGGAAAAATGTCACCTTCTCACCTCCATTGATATCACAGTGGTTGATAAAAGTTTTCTGGAAGTCTCATTTTTTGGAAACTCTAATATTTGACAACAAATAGTTGTTTTCCTTGAGTGACAGATTCACTTTATTAAGATATAATGTCTTCCAAATACACTAGTCTGAATAATGATAGATGTCTTTAATGTAAAAATGGTATTTTGTGCAATTAAACCCCCCCAAACAATAGCTAGTTCAGTTCATAAATAATCACACAAGTACTTCCCTTGAGAAGGACATCATATTATGTGATGTAGCAGAACTGCTTTATGCATACCTCCCATCTTCACTAGACTGTGGGTTGAAAATCAAGGACTTTTCTTTTTTTTTTTTTTTGTTAAAGATATTATTTATTTGAGAGAGAGAGAGAGCATGAGAGGGAGAGGTCAGAGGGAGAAGCAGACTCCCCACCGAGCAGGGAGTCCGATGTGGGACTTGATCCTGGGACTCCAGGATCATGATCTGAGCCGAAGGCAGTTGCTTAACCAACTGAGCACCCAGGAGCCCCTACACGGACATTTCTAAGTGAAGTTTTATTTTATTTTATTAAAATTGTATTTTATTTATAAATTCATTTGTTTTTACTGTATTTGCCAGTGAGGAATACAGTATCATTTGCAGAGTAAATGAATGAATAAATTGCTGTTATAGCTCCAGAAATTACACAGATTCTTCAGGGAATTAGTGTGCTCAGGAGAAGCAGGTTATAGACCAAATCCTCTTATTAAGTCTTAAGTAGCTCCTTCTAATTAGTCAGTTGAGAACATTGGACTAATGAAGGAGTCTTGGAGTGTTTTTACCCAAGAATGCTGTGCAGATGCTTACTGATGCCAAGATTCCAGCTTTCCTCTGTTCTTTTCAACCCCTTAAGCTCTTTAAACATCACAATTTTTCTTCCATCTGAAGATATCACAAGTTAATATTTAGGTCCCAAACTTCATTTCTTTCTTGTTTTGTCAGCCAGTTGATTATTTTGAATAAATCTTAATTCACTGCCAACAAAACATGTATTTTCTCCTTGAAAGTACACTAGTATGAGTTTTTAAATAGGGCCAGTATTTTTTAACTCTGCATATGTGATTGATTATGAGAGAAGAGTACATCAGGAAAATCGTGTGTAAAAAACAAAGAGATAGAGAAATTTTAGTTTTACTTTTGGTAAAACGTAATAGACAAGAAAGCTTAAGAAGTGACGGAATTAAGAGAAGGGTAAACATTCTTGGTAGAAGGGTAGGATGGTTTTTTACATATTATTTTGTCTTATGAAAAGAGGTGAATTATATAGGAAAGGTCTTAGTATCAATTTTATAGAAGAGAAAACCTAGCTAAAAAGACTTTTCCAACTGCCAGAGAGATTACATTTGTTATTTTCAGAGCTAGGTAAAGAACCCAAGGCTCCTAAAATTTGTCCAGAATGCATTATTATTAGAATTGCTTTTAATCCTTTCATGCCCCAATACTTATGATAAATGAAATCATTATGAGGAGAAACACATTTTTTAAAAAACTGGCATTGAGGCTTCTACCATCCCTGATGAATGTAAAGCCTTAAGAACCAGATTACATTTTCCATAGAGGAAAAAAATATATAGTTCCAGATCTTCTTATAAATGTAAATATTTAAAATTCGCCTTTTTAATGGAAGGCTATTTTACTTTATTATTCAAAACTGGTTTAAGAGTCACTGCTGTATATTTTTCAACTTAAGAATGTACTTTGGATAGGAGATAAAGATTTTGATTAACCGCTTGGCAATTTAAAATGTGCTATGGCTACATCTTCCCTTTTCTGGTGAGTAAACTAAAACCAGTTTTTCTATATTCTATACAGAGTAGCACTTCAAATTTGAGAAACTACTCTATTTTCATAAATTAATAGAAAATTACTTGTGTGAGGAAATTATTCTTTGGCCAGTACATGAAAACTATGAAATTTAATAACGTATTTCTTAAATTTTTAATGCAAGAAAAATTCCAGAGTGTAAAGTAAGATTTCATTTACAATGTTGCTTTCTCTCAGTGCTTAAATTCTTTCTTTTCAGCTAATTGATAAATACCAACTGAAAATAAAAGTACAAGACATGGATGGTCAATATTTTGGTTTGCAGACAACTTCAACTTGCATCATAAATATTGGAGATGCAAATGACAACTTGCCAACTTTTACCCGTACTTCTGTAAGTACGTGATAGTAGTAAAAGAAAAATGTACAACCCAGTGTTAATTGCTAAACATGCTTAACTCCATCCATGCCTGCCCCATGATTTCAAATGCAGTATCCCCACTCCCATGACAGTAATTTGGACTTAGGGCTTAAAATCATGTATATGTAGTCCTTGGAAATTAGAACCGAGTTTATTTCCCACAGTGCTCTATTTGTGACAGTTACTAATTAACGGTTTTTTGTTGTTTTTATTATTTTAGTATGTGACATCAGTGGAAGAAAATACAGTTGATGTGGAAATCTTACGTGTTACTGTGGAGGATAAGGACTTAATGAATACTGCTAATTGGAGAGCGAATTATACCATTTTAAAGGGCAATGAAAATGGGAATTTTAAAATAGTAACAGACCCCAAAACCAATGAAGGAGTTCTGTGTGTGGTTAAGGTAAGAATAAATTAGTAAATTAGTTATTTGCAGCTTATAATGTCATAGATTAGCATACTAGAGCTTAATGAAAAGAGAATTCTGGTAACTATAAGGATAAAATCGATACATAGGTAAATATGAATGCCATGTTCTCCGTATCTATAATGAGTGAGTATATTCAAATTGGAGCACCTTTTATAAAGTCCTGGTATTTAAAATAATATTATGTGTGTGCGTGTGTGTAATAGTATTTACTTTGTAACCAACACCTCTTAACAATTAAAAACCTGGCACAGCTTTGATGTCTATGGGACAGTGCCAAACTTTCCTAGCCCATTCTTTCTGTAGCTGGTTCAGGGAGCCTCCACTTACTGAATTTCCCAAATGGTAAGTTATTCCTGGTGAAACTGATAGGGACAGCATTTGTAGATCCGTTCATTTATATCTAGCATACATTACCACCTTAGTTTCCTTCTCGGTTGAGAATGGGAATCCTCAAGCGTTCAGAGATGCAAATACTTGTGAAACATCCTTCTAATACTATTCTTCAACATCTCAGAAGACCTCCCTGCTAATTCAGGAGCCAGTTAGCCCATAAAGCCACCTGCTTTGGACATAGTCATAGTCTTATTTCTGCTGCATCATTAACTAGAAAATGATTCTATCTTGGGTCCATGCACTTTCTCTTTTGTACATATTCACAAAAAGCGTGAATCAAAAATGACAAATCCTTTTTCTTACATGATGAAAATTAACCGCAGTTTTTGGGTTAATTTCTCTATTTCAAAACAGCAAAAAAATGTCTTTTGGATCATATCTTTCCTCATCCAACCCCTGCCCTGATCCTTAGTATTCTAAGAAGCAATTTTATCTCAGTGAAGTCCAAGACCTGACAAAAAATGACTTTACCTATTCTCATTATAGCTACATATCAGGCAAGGAAAAATAAAAACCTTCCATTAAATTTGGTACTACCAGTTCTTTAAAAAGTAACTGTGATGGAAGAGCTAAAAAAAGGAAAGTGTAATGTCCATGAGCTTTCTATTTTCTTCTCTGTCCTCTCTGAAAAACTTTTTATAAATTTGACCCACATTTTCTACCCCAAACAAGGTACAAATAATTTTCTTCATCTAAAGAATAGGGTAAACTGTCCCAAAATGAATGAAGTAGTAAATAACCATTGGTTAGGGTATAGAGTTCCTTAAGTAATCTCTCAAGTGTTAACATTGAAACACTTTAATTAAATGCTTCTTCTTCTTCTTCTTCTTCTTTTTTTTTTTTTTTTTTTTTTTTAAGATTTTGTCTGTTTGACAGAGAAAAATCACAAGTAGGCAGAGAGAGAGAGACGGGGAAGCAAGCTCCCTGCCTAGCAGAGAGCCCGATGCAGGACTCCATCCCAGGACCCGGGGATCATGACCCGAGCTGAACCCACTGAGCCACCCAGGCGCCCCTAATTAAATGCTTCTTGAATTCATTATCAGGACCTCTGATATTACTCACAGTTGAGGAACAGTTTTTGTTTTGTTTTTCGGGTTCCACCCAAATACTGAATCGGTTGGATTCCCCTCCTCCCAACACCACCTGGTTTCTGGGTATATATTTAATATTTTCCTGACCATTCTCAACACTAGTTATGTATGCCAGTTAGCATGGCCAAATATAGGAAGTCTTGATCTGATTTTCAGCACACTTGTGTTTTGCAGCCGCTGAATTATGAAGAAAGACAACAGGTGAATCTACAGATTGGGGTAGTTAATGAAGCTCCGTATTCTAAAGAGGCTAGTTCACGATCAGTCATGAGCACCGCGACAGTTACTGTTAATGTAAAAAATCAGGACGAGGGCCCTGAGTGTAGCCCTTTGGTGCAAACCGTTCAAATTAAAGAAAATGTGCCAGTGGGAACAAAGAGCCGTGGATATAAAGCATATGATCCCGAAACAAGAAGTAGCAGTGGCATAAGGTATCCTGTTTTAATTAACTCCAAATTTACCATGTTTTTAAAATTCATAATTTGTTTTGATGCCAGAATTATAATTTTGCCTATGATATGATTTGCTACTTTAATTCATCTTTACTAATAGGTATAAGAAATTAACTGATCCAAAAGGGTGGGTCACAATTAATGAAAACGAAGGATCAATCACAGTTTTCAGAAACCTGGACAGAGAGGCGGAAAGTGTCAGAGGTGGCATATATAATATCACAATTCTTGCATCAGACAAAGGTAAGAACTACTTACCTTTCCCCCTACTTAACATCCTCAGTTTTTAAACCAAAACATAGATTTGCAATGAGCTGCATATATACATATACATAAATACATATATACACGTATATATCTATTTGTGTTATATTAGTTACCATAAAATACATCACTAGTTTTTGATGCAGTGTTCCAAGATTCACTGTTATACACCACACGCAGTGCTCCATGCAATCCATGGAGCCCTCCTTAATACCCACCACTAGGCTCAGCCATCCCCCCGCCTCCCTCCCCTCTAAAATCTCCAGTTTGTTTCTCAGAGTCCACATTCTCTCAGTTCATCTCCCCCTCCGATTTCTCCCAAGTCACTTTTCTTTCCCTTCCCCTAATGTCCTCCATGTTATTTCTATGCTCCACAAGTAAGTGAAACCATATGATAATTGACTTTCTCTGCTTGATTTATTTCACTCAGCATAATCTCCTCCAATCCCATCCATGTTGATGCAAAAGTTGGGTATTCATCCTTTCTAATGGCTGCATAATATTCCATTATATATATGGACCATATCTTTATCCATTTGTCTATTGAAGGGCATCTCAGCTCCTTCCACAGTCTGGCTCTTGTGGACATAGCTGCATATATTCCCCAATGTATTTCTCCCCAGAAGATATAGAGCAGTTGAAAGGTTTGCTATAATTTATTAGCTCATGTTTGCTTTCTAATAGCACCCTCAGTTTTATGTAATTGTAAAATAATTTAGTAATAGAAATACTGGAAATGATAATTTTTTAAAAGTAAACAATCATTGAAAATTGAGAAAGTTACTCTAGTCAAATTAGCTTCAATTTATCTAGTTGTGTCTTTTAAAATATTCACTTTGGCAGGAGAATTCATTGCAACAGAGAACATGCTTGTTGCCTGATAGTGCATTCCTAGAAAACTGTTCTGTCTTTTTACAGGAAACTCTCAGTATACTTAGGGATTAAATTCTGACTAAGGACATTATTTAAAAATAATCATAGTCATGATTAATGGTATATTATAAAATTAGAAAGAAAAACACTGTGAATCCATAAAACCATATGAAAGATAAAATATTCTGTGAGTACTACAAAATGGAGAGGAATATGACCACAGTGGTTATGTATGAGATCTATTTAGTGCATGACATACATTTGACTTCAGTGCCTCCATAAACTAAGTATGTTAACTACAGCAAACATATATTATTACACTATAGCTTACAACATTAGAGTTTAGAAGCAATTTTGGAAGATGTTTTAGGTATTTCGGTTCTATCTAAATGAATGAGAAATGGTTCCTATCCATTGATTGAATCAGTAAGGTTGTAGTTATTATTAATTTAACTTTGATTAATTAAAGACTGTCCTTTAAGGCCTCAGGTTCCTTTGTCCCTTTGTCAGGACATGCTTTTTGGTCAAAGGCAAATGAAAAAGAAGAATAACATGAAAATCAAATCTGTTCTGTTTACATTTTTAACAGGGCTTGGCAAATGGTTTGTTGATAGATCAGATAAATTTATTGTCCGGAATTAAGAGATTTGGGATATAATTTTATTCTACATTCTCCTTTGTCGCAGAGGAGATAAAATAATTGAGAGGTCAAATATTTGTATGGCACTTAGATGAGCTAATCATCCTTGTGGAATAAAATAAATGCATCACGGGGCCCCTTCCCATTCATTTCTGTTGAAGAGGGTAGGGACTGAATGTTACCATTTATTTTATGAACTCAGATCATACAAAGGGTTTTTTGTTTGTTTGCTTGTTTGCTTTTTCTGTCTTTATCTTTTTCTAAAATCTGTGCTGACTAATTTCTTTTGGACCCTACCACCTGCTTCCTGATGAAAGATGGTGTCCGTGAGCACAGACATTAGGTCCATTCTCACTTCCTATCCTCCTGCTTCTCTATGGCACTTGCTTCCTCTTTCTGAAACCCTCTTGCAAGGCATCTGTGTATAAATTTTTTCACACTTTTCTCTCTGGTCCATATGCTTTCTGGTACCACCTTCTGCTCTCCTGAACACAGCTATTTCTTCAACTTTAGATTCAATTTCTCTCTTCTTCTCAGTGTCTTCTCAGATTAAACTCTCTTGGTAGTGTCACTCAGGTGTATCCTCTATATAGCTCAGTTTTAGATTTTTTTTTAAAAAGGTGTTATTTATTTATTAGAGAGATGGAGAGAGAGCACAAGTAGGCAGAACATCTGGCAGAGGGAGAGGGAGAAGCAGGCTCTCCGCCCAGCAGGGAGCCCGATGCGGGGCTCGATCCCAGGACCCTGGGATAATGACCTGAGCTGAAGGCAGCAGCTTAACCCACTGAGCCACCTTGGTGCCCCTTAGGTTTTTACCTTTGTTGGATTATTCCAGCTTTGGGGAGGAGTGTGTTTTCAAAATTTTTGAAACATTGAACAGGAGGGTGCCATGGACAAAACTCATGAAACCAAGGGTAGTTCACTTTCCATGACTTCATATTTGGGATTAGTACTTACTCAGATAGAACCATGTTAATATTAGAAGGCGAGCATTGCATGCCTACATTCCAATGAATTAGAGCATTATTTATTTAGTCAACATTAAAAACAGCGCTGTGAAACACTGTGAACTAGATGTCTAAGATCTTCGGTTTAAATATTGTACACTGATATGAATCACAATGCCTCAAAAAATGGAGTGTACTGTACAACTGTAAATGTTTAATGGAAGTGAGGTTCAGACATTTAGCACAGTAGTGGAGGAGCAGATGTTGTAGAGGTCAGTTTTTAAAGACAATGTAGTCAACCAGGCTCAGTCAGGAAGCCATGTGCTTTCAACTCTGTGTGCGGATCCAATGTCAAGAAATGTTCAAGACATTCCACAGTCCCAGTTTTCAGAGAGAGCTAGAACACAGCACACAGAGAGAGAACAGAGATGTTGAGAGGTGAAATTATTCTGCCCTCTGAAACGTATGACAGGTAGATAAAATACAGATCTCCCTGCTTCCTTTGTCTCCCTTTCCCTTCTCTTTTTTTAAGTTGTCCAAAGTGAGAGATTGTTGCATTATTTCCTATATCTCATTCCTTCTCTCCTGGTTCCCTTTTCTTCTTGCTGGTGCACATTCTTTACTAGTTCTTCAAAAGTTGTTGTCTAGGGGACAAACCCTACCCATTTTATTCTGAAGAATATTTCAATGTCATTCTCCTGCTCGATTTGATCATTTGACTTGATGTAAGGTTTTGAGGTAGGTCTTCTTTCCCTCAGCACTGTGAGGGGTCATACTCCATTATCTTCTGGCATCTCATGTTGCTGAGGCAAATTTATCTACTGTCAATCTCATTATTGTCCATTTGTAGGTAATATGTCTAGGCGACTTTTTTGGCTCCCTGGGTTGCATTTTATAGTTTTAATACAGTGCTTATGGTGTGAGCTTATTTTTATTTATATAGCACTGCCATCAGAATATATTTAAAAAAAAATCCTTACTTCTCTTTAATTCTGGGATATTTTCAGCAATTACCTCTTTCAATAGTGCTTCCCTGCCATTCTATTTATTCTCTTCCTCTAGAATCACTATTAAAGGAATGTTGTTGTTTTAGTTCTACTGGAATTTAAGCTATAATTTCATTGCTCTTGAAACAGTTACCCCCCCCCTTTTTTTTAAATGTCTTTGAAGATACTAAATATACATGTTTCAAAGATGTCTTGCATAGAGTGAATTAATCTTCAGTTGGGTGGTTTTTTTGGTTTTCCTTTTAGCATTGCTCTTGCGCATTCTGGAATTTCAATTTGCAAGCTTTACATGGGAGGTGTCCAGTTTGATTTCTCCTTTTGGTTTCTTCCTCTCCACTTTACCCCATAGCAGTCTTGTAGTTGTTGCCACTTTGTCCTTTTCTTTTCTTTTTTTTAAGATTTTATTTATTTATTTGACAGGCTGAGATCACAAGTAGGCAGAGAGGCAGGCGGGGTGGGGGTTGGGGAGAAGCAGGCTCCCTGCGGAGCAGAGAGCCCAATGCGGGGCTTGATCCCAGGACCCTGAGATCATGACCTGAGCTGAAGGCAGAGGCTTTAACCCACTGAGCCACCCAGGTGCCCCTGTCCTTTTCTGGGGCCCGCATTTCAGAACCGGTCTCCTTGTCCTTGATGACACTGCAGGTATCACAGGGCCTGTCACCTTGGTCCAGGTTATGACTTCAGGGCTGCGCCTGGTCTTCCAGCTTTTCCAGGTTGGCAGTTTTACGTAAGACACAGCCCCAGACAGTAGGTGGCATAGGTTGGTTTATCCTCTTGTCCATCGCTGATGTCCCAAGGCCTCCTGATTAAGCAGAAAGAAGTGATCTAGAGGCAGATGTCCTGATTTGTGTTCAGCTTCAGACTAAACAACTGTGTTACTGATTTGGGGCCTGGACCCACATCTCCTTCATCTTTGAATCCCCTAGATTTTCCAGTACGGTGCCCTGTACAAAGTAGTTATTCAGTAAATTTTTATTAGACATAGAGACCGATGTTTTCCTTAGGCTACAGCCATGGGGATTAGTTTGGTTTACAAGTGATTTTCTACTTCTGGAGTCTTTTTACCCTTCAAACGTTTCTAGGTACTGTTTTGTTCTTATCTTCCAAATGCATATCTTCTCCCTTTTGGTTCCCCTGCTCCAAAACGTTAGACACTTTCTATATGCATATGAAATTCTGAGGTTGGCTTTCGGGGACCCTTAGCTCTTCTCTGTGGTGTCAGTTCCAGCCAGTCTGCCTTACCCCCTCATTCTGTCTAGAACATGGTTATACATACTGTGCTTTCCCACCTTCTCAAATATCCCTGTGCTTGTAACTATACCAGAAGCGCCCTCGGTCATATTTACTCCTTTAAAAAAAAATCAGTCAAGGGGCGCTGGGTGGCTCAGTGGGTTAAAGCCTCTGCCTTCGGCTTAGGTCATGATCCCAGGGTTCTGGGATCAAGCCCCGCATCAGGCTCTCTGCTTGGCAGGGAGCCTGCTTCCCCATCTCTCTCTCTGCCTACCTCTTTGCCTACTTGTGATTTCTGTCAAATAGGTAAATAAAATCTTTAAAAAATAAAAACAAAACTATTTTTTTCGATGTACAAGTTTCCTAGTAAAAACCCGGAACATTAAAAAATTCATATTTTTACATCCAATTTTCTAGATGGGAGAACCTGTACTGGAACACTGGGAATTATACTTGAAGATGTGAACGATAATGGCCCCGTGATACCAAAACGGACAGTAGTAATCTGCAAACCCGTCCTGGCATCTGCGGATATTGTTGCAGTTGATCCCGATGAGTCTGCGAATGGCCCGCCCTTTGACTTCCGTTTGGACAGCGATGCTGATTCAGACATAGAAAGAAAGTGGAGATTGAGAAGAATTAACGGTATGTGAATGCCGTTAAAACCAGCTTAGTTCTTAGTCTGTACTTCTGACTTTAGCTATGAGAGGATCTATGGTGACAGGAATGACAAAAATGAAGAGGCCCTCTCTCAGCTCTTAACTCCTCAGAGGGTTCCGCGTCTCCTAACTGAACTGCCCACAGGCCCTGAAGTCTTGGTCGCCCAGCACTTCAGCTTTCACGACTTGAGATCTGCTATAACCTGAGGGGCTTTTCCTTTGAAGTGTCCTTGAATGTGAATTTCAACCCCATGCTTCCAAGGAATATTCCTCCATTTTCTTTTATGACAAATTAGAACACAAAGTTGTAAGCCAAGGGAAGGGGAACAGGAAGGGAAAAGGAAAACAAGGATGTGTAGAAGCTATGGTGACAAGTTAAGGCCCTGTGTCCCGAATCCTGCTCTGTGAACTGACAGCATTTTCAGTCTTTTTAATAATATTCCTGTGTGTGTGTGTGTGTGTGTGTGTGTGTGTAAGGTTATCAACTGTTCTTTCTCGGGAAGAACTAACCTTACTTTTAGATTTTCTCCATTCTACTGATTTGATGTCATAACATCATTTCCTTTTAGATCGTGTGAAAGGAGGTAGTAATTTTTTTTTTAAAGATGTTTATTTATGTATTTATTTGACAGAGAGACAGCCATTGAGAGAGGGAACAAAAGTAGGGGGGGTCGGAGAGGGAGAAGCAGGCCTCCCGCTGAGCAGGGAGCCCGATGCGGGGCTCAATCCCAGGACCTTGGGATCATGACCTGAGCTGAAGGCAGCCACTTAACGGACTGAGCCACCCAGGCACCTCAGTAATTCTGTTTAATATTCCTGCTTTGTACAGTAAACATTGGCAGGCTTATGTCAGTCAAAATTTTGTTGCTTTTAAGTTCTACTCATCTGTGAAATAACCCCAAAGTCTGGGAAACACCAAGTTAGGAACATATTCCAATGAGTCTTTGAAGTCAAATAGACTAGGTTAAATGCCGGCTCCACTGATTATTAGTGATGTAAATATGACCATGCTATTTATTCTCCTTGGGCCTTAATTTACTTATATGTAAAATGGGATTATTTGGGGGAGTAAACAAGATAATGAAAGCATCAGACCATGGCACGTTATACATTGTAAATTTTGGTTTTGTTAGTCTTCTTATTTTTAACACATAGACTTACCAAGTTAACCATGCTTTCTTCTAAAATGGATTTATCCACTGATTCCTTTACCCAAACACCCAAATTTATATTTAGAGCTTCAAACACCCTCATAATAAATGGGACAGTTAAATGGAGAAGGTTTCTTCTTAAGAATGGGCATGTGGCATCAACATTCAGAATAGTTATATATCTTTGGATCTATACCCAAGACTGAATTGGATATTGACCTGGATATTTTCTACCCTAAAAAAATACATCAGAACTATAAAGTGTACAGTTGGTCCCAGGGTCCTATAGGATTTTGAGACACTACAGCATCAAGACAACTCACACATACCAGTGTGTTCAAGGTCAGCCATGTTCTAAGCTGTCAGAATCAGTCTCTGACAGTGAGTCACAACTTTATATCTGTTTGGCACAATATATGAGAACAGAATAAAGGGAAACATCCAGAATTTCAGATTATTGCTCTCTGATAAACCATGTATATAAGAAAATTTCACTGAATGGTGATATTAAAAATTTTCAAAGATATGAGTGCTTTAACACCTATTACTTGTGATAAGAAGGGTTTGTTTATGGACAGAAAAATATATTATTATAAAAGCCAAAGGACGTTTATGTAAGAGGCAGCAGAGAGAAACTTGGATATGCAGTATGTTTACCGTTGCTGTAGATGAGAACTCATCAGTCCATTTACATTCTCAGTCCTGTAGCCTTTGTGCCTTCCCATCAGGAAGGCCTATTTGTCGGGAAATATGGCAAATATCCTAACGCTAGAAGAAATTAGTGACATTCTCTATCACTCAGTTTTATTTTCTTTCAGATACGGCAGCTCGTCTTTTCTTTCAGGAGGACCTTCCATTTGGAACTTATCAAGTACCTGTCAGAGTTACAGATAGACATGGCATGTCGCTCATTACTCCACTAACTGTTAAGTTATGTGACTGTGTTACTGAAAATGACTGCACGCTTCGCACTGATCCAAGGATCGGCCACGGAGAAGTGAGACTTGGAAAGTGGGCCATCCTTGCCATATTGTTGGGCATAGCCTTGCTCTTTTGTAAGTCCCTTCACCAACTTGAATAACAGCCTTTACGATAACTTTAAAGACACATTCTTAGAATCAGCACTGCTACCTGTAACTGTTCATTTGTATATAGTTCTAGTTCTACTTAACACAACATACTGAATTTATTTATTGAAAGCACTGTTCTTGTGTTACTGCAGCACAGACATAAAATTCAGTGCAGAAACATGGCAATTAGCACGTCTTTGTGGCATACCAGCTTAGAGCAGACTTTCTCCACAAGCCACCATATTTATATTTTCTGGAAAGCTGACTTTGTGTGAGTCATCCTAAATTCATAACTCCATATTGCTTTATGATCAACTGAAGTAACTTCTCTCATCCTCCAGGTATCCTGTTTACCTTAGTCTGTGGAGGTACTGGGGCAGCTAAGCAGCCCAAAGTATTTCCTGATGATTTAGCCCAGCAGAACCTCATTGTGTCAAACACGGAAGCTCCAGGAGATGACAAAATAGTAAGTAGTTTGTTCTTTTTAAAATAAATACAAAGGACAAATTGGCCTAACCAACTATAATTATCTTTTCTGAGAAAAGTTCTTTTGAAATCAGGTAACTGACAATATATAAAATTTCATCCGTCCTATGGACTAGATAAATGATGTTGATTCTCTTGATGATAACGTGGCCCTTCAATGTGGGCGTATAGTGTTACTTAAGAGTTAAAATCCTTTTGCATGTCATTATTATTTCTACTTAAAATGTTTCATGACTTCAACTTTAGGTCCAGTCTTTTTTATATATTGAAACTGCTGTTTGTGTTGTAAAAATATTTCATTTAATTATTCACAGATCATCAGCATAATTATTTTAATTTTTTTTTCTGACAACAGCAATAAAATGACTACGAGCTTTGATCAGTGTGGGAAGAACTTTAATGGAGTCTTTCTGGTTCTAATATGGGTTAGAAAGAAGCCTGAGGTCAAACATGAAATGACAATGCTAGCAAGCGACTACAGAGCTCCAACTTTGATTTCTAGCCTAGTACATGGATGAGGGACTTGTAAATTTTCTATGGAAAGCATAATGATGATAAGAACTGGAAAGATTTAGAAAACAAAAGTAGTTGACATCTAGGAAGGTATTGGAAAAAAATAAAACTTAAGAGTTTCCCACAAAAACGCAGCATAGAAAGTTAGTGCCCAGAGCTTTGTTGTTCTTATTTTCCCTGCTGATTTATTTTTCTTTATTGAGATCACAGGATTTATTATTGCAACTAAGATTTTTATGGCAACTCCTTTTTCTGTATTTTTGTTTTAGTTGAGGGGAACGACATTAAACACAATAAAAATACTGATCGCCCTTTCTGTTTCTTGTTCTAGTCTAGTTTGGTCCCTGTAGGTGAAGGAGTGAATTTCAACCAAGCAGGGTAAATTCACATGAGATGTTGATGCCAGAATCCTGATTTTGAGCTTTGAGATTTTGGAAGGATTTAAGAAATGAGCTTGTGCAGTATTCTAAGAAGTTTTTAAAGAAGGAATATACATTTAGCTTTCTGGATTTGTCTCAAGGTGTAGACCAGTTGACATCTGCAATTTGTAGATGCATTGGACGCTGTACTCAGGATTGCCAAGACAGATTTAGTTCTTGCCTTCAGGGAGCTTACCTTCTAACACAAAAATGTAGAGCATTATCTGCATGTTGTTGTTGCTCTTCGTTTCTGTATGCAAATTGTTTGCCTTTCAGTGTTCCACCAATGGTTTCACAACACATACTGTGGGCAGTTCTGCTCAGGGAATTTGTGGTACCATGGGATCAGGAGTGAAAAACGGAGGGCAGGAGACCACTGAAATGGTGAAAGGCGGACACCAGACCCTGGATTCGTGCCGGGGAACTGGGCACCATCACACCCTGGATTCCTGCCGGGGGGGACCTGTGGAGGTGGACAACTGCCGATATACGTACTCCGAGTGGCACAATTACACTCAGCCTCGTCTTGGTGAAGTGAGTTTCCCTGAGTGTCCTACAAATTTATTTTAATTTCCTTTCAGCTTTCTAAATTATTTCAATTTAGTGGCCTGACCCTTGTTTTCAGTTAATTATTAATTAATTGTAAAGTTGTTTTTCCTAATTTTGATTTAGTAATGTTCAGTATTAAGTGGAAATTTACTTTTCCCCTCAGTTTGTTTCGTTTTTCATTCTTAGAGAAATAATGTTAGATGATACTTAGTTATTAGATATGAAATATCCTATTTATTTGGTATAAAAACAACAGAAAAGAATTGTTATCCCAGTTTATGTGTTTTTTTTAAAATATACAACTTATCTGTACGATATTTAAATTATTTTTTTCCATGATTTTGTGTTAATATTTCCCATGTGACAAATCGTTATCTTAGAAAACAGAAGCGTGGTACAAGGCAATTATAGCCTTATGGTCACTAAGCCTATCTGGAAAGATCTGAGCCCACCTAAATTTGGATTCAGTTTAATGGCTGCATCTCACTTTTGACATGATTTTGAAAGGGAAACTAATGATCACCTAACCTGAACCCTCATATACTTGCTGCCACATATGTGAGTTTTTAGAGACATGCTGTAGAGTGAATTTATAGATGATTTATGATATAGACCAATCATGTGCATTTTTTATATGTAGGAATCCATTAGAGGACACACTCTGATTAAAAATTAAACAATGAAAGGTAAATCAAAGCCATTATTTTTATGTTAGTAAGTTTTGGTGTTTAAAATAATAATAATAAAATATATTGTGTTTCTCCTCTGGCAGAAGGTGCAACTGTGTAATCAGGATGACAAGCATAGACACGCTCAAGACTATGTCCTGACGTATAACTACGAAGGCAAAGGATCGGTGGCTGGTTCTATAGGTTGTTGCAGTGAACGACAAGAAGAAGATGGGCTTGAATTTTTGGATCATTTGGAACCCAAGTTTAGGACACTAGCAGAAGCATGCATAAAGAGATGAATGTGTTCTGATAAGTCTGCAAAAGCCAGTGGCTTTATCTCCCTCCCACCCGCGCTATTTTCATTACAGCCCATGTTTTTTAAAAAATTGGATATGCTGTTTCAGGTTTTCCCCTCTTTATTTCAATGGTATCTCTTTAAACATATGCATATTTACAGAAAAAAGCTGTAAATACGTATACAAATCTCCCAAGTTTTGCATAGTTATTAATTAGTTGTCTTCTACCCAAGGAGACCTACAGATAGAAAAATTAAAGAAGTCTGTGTTACTGTTTACATTTGGGTATAATGACAATAGCCAATTTATTATGCCATCGAATGTAATGAGTTCAAATGTGTGTCATACACTACTTAAAGGATAACCTAATAGAAAATTGTAGAGAACTCGCTTTAACATTAATTAGTTGTTTGTACGGTGTTTGAAAACTGCTATTCTCCTAAACATTGTAAAGTGTGTATATTGCATCCTTGATAATGTTTTATTCTTAGAACATTACCTTTCTTTCTAATGCAAAGGGAGCGTCCCAACCAGGCATTGACTGGTGGTAATACAACTCCATTTTGGTAGAGTTTAGTTTCTGTTTTACTCTATAAAATCCTGTGCTGAATCTACGTTTCTCTGTTAATCTACCTTGACAGCAAAGTTTAAGTTTAAAAACTGCTTTAAGGATGTGTTTTTACTTCTGCAAGGTTTTGGTCCTTGGTCTCTCTCTGTTTCTTTCTCTCTCTCCCTCTCACTCTCTCTCTTTTTTTTTTTTTTTTTTGGTCTTTATTTTTTAAATTTCTACTTGGGTTGGAGAATCTAAATATTTTAAAAAGCCACTTTTCTTCTAAAGTGAGTGATTCTGTTTGTGTTTTAAGTAAGTGTACTAGTCTCTGTTTTTCTTGAAATCAGTGTGGTGCTGACATTACTGTTTCAAGTATCTTGGTTGTTGCTTCGTTATATCCTCAACAAAGGAATTTAACTTTGTCATTGAAACTACAAGTAAGTCATGCTTTTATTAGATGCAACATTCTGTTGCATGTTAAAATTAGAATGTGGATAATTAGTATATAATAGTGTTTACAGTTCCTATCTTCAATGCAAGGATATAGTTTTTAAATGCGAAATAATGACGGTTTTTGAAATAAGCTTTGAGGTACAGGGTTCGTGAAAGCTCTCCAGGAGTAAGTATTTTATAACTTTTTAGATGAAATGGCTAGTTGTATCTATGTGTTTAAGACGTTGTTTTTGTTGTTGTTGTTGTTTTCATGTTTTAAAATTAGAGTTTTTAACAAATGTAGAGTGGGCCAAACTATGTATATTTTGAAACAATAAGACAAAATTAAACTGAACAGCCAACCAAATTCCAGGCCAGTTTTCACAGTTGATTTCAGTGAATTTTCTATGTGTACTAACTACATGAACATTTTAAATGTATTTTTGATAGTAACAATTGTTAATAATGTGCCTATCTTAAATTCACAAGTCTGCCTTATAACAATTACTTTTAAAGATTAACACTGGGTAATTATTCCATAGTCAATTTTATCATTTTAATAGTTTTATTATTGTTCAGTCAAAAATACTGTTTCTCAAAGTTATTTTAAATAAATCCTGTCTACAATGTTGTGTTTTGCTAGTTATGAGAAAGTAAATCAAGTAGTTTCAAAATATTAGTGTAAGTTTGTTAATCATGTGCCCGATATGACCTTATAAGATTTTATTTGTCTTACTTTGAGCAGTGAGTCTATTCTTTAGAATTGTGTTCTACATTTTTCAGAATTTTAGTTTGATGTGGAGAGATCATTGGTCCATTGTCATCACCACATGTACATAATTTTGCTATTCTAAAGGTTGTCATGCTATGGGATATTGTTTAAGTTACATGGTTTCTCTGTGTCCGTGTTTTGTTTTGTTTTTTTTTTTTTTAATTTCATCATAAAATGGGGGATAATAGTATGACTCCTTTCCTAGGGTGGCTATAAGACATTTGAATAAAAAATGGTTTTTAAGCATGAAATTCATATAGAGTTGTCCACCTAAAAGGCACTCCTATAATACTAAATGATTTAATTTTTTATTTTATTTTTTAAAAAAGATTTTATTTATTTATTTGAAAGAGAGAGACCCAGGGGGAGAGGGAACACAAGCAGGGGGAGTGAAAGAGGGAGAAGCAGGCCCCTGCCAAGCAGGGAGCCCGATGCTGGGCTCCATCCCAGGACGCTAAGTTCATGACCTGAGCTGAAGGCAAATGCTTAACCAACTGAGCCACCCAGGTGCCCCACTAAATGATTTAAAATATGTCACATGTACAACCCAATTCATACTAACAAAGATCAATTAAGAAAATAGAATAATTGAAAGCTGGTTTTTTTTTTTTTTGCTTTACTTTTAGAATGTCTGTCAGTTGAGAATATGTCTCTTCATAATGATTACCTGATGACTGAGACTTATCTATCCAATGGTTCAGAACAAATATTGCAAAGATTTCTGAAGTATCTACAAAGGATTGCCTAATCTGAAATACTGTGAAACTATTTAGTTCCAATTGGGTGGAAAGCAGAACATCTACGAAAAATGGGCACTAATTCTAAAACACTATGAAAGTTATATATGCTTAAGATTCTTCCTGCCATGCCCTTCCTAGGCTTCTCTCCTAGCTGGAAAGGTTGCTTTTCTCAGAGACAAGCAATTGCTTGCCTGGGGAATTTAAGACAGTTGGCCTTCTTCAGGGTAACCCTGAAAGTACAAAGACTCCAGAGAGTGCCTTGATGCAAATCCCAACACCACCCTTACTAGCTGTGGGATTTGAGAAGTCACTTAAACTTTGAGTCTAGTTTCCTCCACTATATGACCTTTATTTGTGGGGATTTTAAGAGTCCATTTCATAGTTTTGTTGTCAGAGTTAAAAGAGTTAATTCGTTAAAAGAATTGGCACAGAAGGATCACTCAATATACATTAGCTGCTGTTATTATCATAAGAGAAGGGAATGCCTTAGTTGGGATAATCATAGCTTTGGTCTCAAGTCTCATTGTACCTTACAGGTGACATCTTGCCATGATGTTCCCATTCGTCTTTCCCAAAAGCCTAACTGCCTTTTACCTGTGATGGCCTTTTGGGAACTAGATGGCTCATAATTGTCTCTCCTTCTTGGTATTTAGGAAGCTACATCTTATCCATAAACCACAAATCAGTGTGATAAATCTTGAGACTTAAATGAAAAACAGATACAATTTCTAGTCACCAGATTTTGCCTCCTTGAGAGATTTCCCTAATAAATGGATGGAGCTACTTCAATGAGGGAAGTACTGTTAGTTTATTGCATACAGTCATCTAATGCCTTCCCCATATAGTCTTCCTAATAAAGACTGTGCTGGTATGAGAAGGTACACGATGAATTAGCTATTCTCCCCACCCACAAAATATGGGTAAGACAAAATATGATATAGTTTTGAGCCGACGTTGGAATAGTCCAATGCCTGGAATGGTCCCATGCCTGGAAAATGCATCACATGATACCTGGCATGTGGTAAATACTCAATACAGTTAAAAAAAAAAATTCCAGATGATGCAAAAGAACTGTATTATTCTAGTGAGTGAAGTTGTGTTTCCATTACTCCCAAGCCAAGTGTCCATGAGCATGAGGACCCTACCTGTTGTCCTCCATTCCTCTTCATATGTTCCTCCCACCAGTATCCCAGCTCAACTCCTTGGCATCACTCAGCTCCAACAGTGGTGGTGCCTCCAATCTCTTCCCTCTTCCATCCTTCTCCCTGCTGTCAAAGAACAAATAGGATCATGGCATTCTCCTGCCTAAGGTCCTGCGATTTTAGAGGATAAATTTGAAATGCATATCACATTCTAATACCAGTTCTCCTGTAAACCACCCCTCCCCCAACACACACACATTCTCTTATCTTGTGCCTTGCTCCTAACCAGGCCTCCTTGTGCAGTATCTCTACTCATCCATTTCTTTCTTACAAAAATAGAACTTTTTAAAAAGATTTAGTTCAAAAACCATCTCCCTCTAGCCATATGACATTTATGTGTCTAGAGCACATGGCTATAAATTTTCACTTATAGGTTATAGGTATGTGTGTATGCATTCGTACATGCATGGGTGTGTGTGTGTGTGCGTGTGTGTGTGTGTGCATGGATGCATGTGTGTGTGTGTATGTGTGTTATTATATGGAAAAGTTACTGAAGATAAAGGTGTTCCCATTTGTATGCACATTGAACTCTGGCCGTCAATGCATTCTGATGAGCCAAATTATATTGCCCAGGTCACAAAGGGAAAACAAAAGGAAGATTACAAATTAAGTTATTTGATTCCTAGCAAGCTACCTAACTTTCCCTTGACATAAATTTTCTATTAGAGATGTGATGTATTTTAGATTCTGCATTGAATTCTTTTTTCAGTGCTGGGGCATTGAATACCTAGAACAAACATTTGCATTTACTACTTAGAAAGTGAGGTGATGAGGTTTTGGAATCCCTGTGGTGGTGAGAGTGGCAGATCTCATGTCTACATTGTGATTCACTTTAGCTAATTCCTTCCTACCTCCAACAATTGTCTGACCTTCTCAGAACTAGCTACACCATGCTGAAACGTAGTCCTCAAAGGTTCTTGTCATCGTCACCACTGTGTGCCCAGCATACAGAACAGTAGATTTTCCATATGTTAATTGAAATATTTTTTTGCGACCATCTTCTCATCATCAGCACGTTCTAACACTAGTGAAAATAAATTTTGCTAAAGGGCAAACTACCTTCCCGTCCCTGAGGAAAAGCAACTAAGACACACTTATATCTTAGAAATATAAGAAATGATTCTTACTGGTTTGCCAAATCCAAGTTAATTATTTATAAATTTGAGAGTCAAGCCTTGACTCAAGAAGTATCTTGAGAAACCAGAAGCAAGAAAAGTGCAGATCTCAGAGCTTCCTCTGACTTAGAGTGGAACATCACTCTGTAACAGGACACCATGGTGCTCAAGAGCATGGCCAGGAGGAAGTTGAGAGTGGAAAGAAAAAGACACTTGTAGCTTTGAGCCTGGGAGACCGTGACCCTACCGCACTGTGAGCTGGTAATGTGGCCTGAAGATAATACAGAAGACAGAGACGCCTGTTCTGCTGTTTTAAGGAACAGATCCACCCAGTGAATGGTGGGCAAAGCTTAGTAAATAACCAGTCAGCTATGCTTCTGGGTTTTTGGCTTTTGGGAAACATCCATATGCCTTCTTTTATTTCCTCTGACCTGGGTCTGGGTTTCAGTCTGGGAACTGAAATCTTAGAAAGTGAGATCCTATTTTTCCTTCCCAGGTGGGTCCTCTGTCCTCACCTTCCCCTGTCCCTTACTACCCCAATAGCTATAGAACAGCGTAAGTCACTTCTGCTTCACTTTTTAAAAAATAGAGCAGATAAATGCATCATCCAGCTGCATTTTTAAATTAAACACACAGCATAGAGTCCTCATGTAAAACAAAAGAAATAGTATTGACAAGACAGGAAATGAAAACCAGTGCTTGGCATATAGCTAGCATACTAAGCAGAACACTGTGAGCTTATTTTATTAAAAAAGACGCACATCTTAGTTTATAGAGGAGTATTGCTGTGTCATGGCTTTGGGACATACTCTTTACTTTCAAACCTGTTGGGTATGTTTTAAATTCTAGGTACATATGAGACTAAGGAGAAGAGTCTCACTGGTGGCCCTCTGTGGGTAGTGATGGTGCAAAGTAAAAGTCAGTGGTTATTTTGTGCCACTCTTTAGCT